GACTTGGTAGCATACTCAGATGGGCCATCTCCAGGCAAAGGCAAATGTGGCCCCAGTGTCCTGCCAATTCAGACGTCACAAGCAGGCAGCCTTCCAGTCACCAAATAAAGGTTCAAGGAACAGAAATAGAGCTCTCTGCATCCCCTTCTGGATATTCGTTATTAGTGGAGGGAGGTTGGAGGCTAGGATAAAAATGTTACCAGCTCACAAGTCTCCAGGGCTTTCGATATGTCCAGACACTCACCCCCACAACCATTTGCAACCTCTCGACCATCCTGTGAAGTAGGGTGGCCATCTCCTATGACCATTCTCATCTGACAAATGGGGAAACCAAGGTACAGGTTAAGCAACTAACCTGAAGCCATACAGCTTGTGTGTATCAGGTGTGAGTCCACGCAGCCTGGCTCTGGAGCCCAAACTCTTGCACCATAGCCCTTTGTGGAAACACGAGGCATTGGGGTACACACTGGCTGGCTCCCCTGAGGCTGCACAGTCTACTCCCAGGATGACTCACTAACCTGGCCAACAAGTGGGTGCTGACTTTGGGGTAAGAGCTCAGCTGGGGTTGAGATTTGGGGACCTTGATTCATCTCTACCCAGGCCTCTCCGTGCTCGGGGTTCCTCACAGTATGGTGGCTGGATTCCCTGGGCAAGTGTCCCATCTAAGGACAAAGCTAGGTACGGTTCCATTGCCTGTTCTGACCTAGTCTTGGAAGTCAAAGAACACCACTACGACTCTACTTCAGTCATTGGGATTGTTCCGAAGACCCACCCAGGTTCAAGGGCATGGTGAAGTTCTAGAAGAACGTGGGAGACCAGAAATTTCTTTGCAGCCATTTTTAGAAAATATAGTCTGGGGACCAGCAGATGGCATAATGGCTGCATCGCTGGACTCCCAGTAGTTTGAGGCCCAGGCCCAGTGACTTAAAAGTCATGTCAGGTACATGTGCGTGCCCAAGATCTTGAGAGGAGAATGGAGGAGAAGGGATTGCAGCGTGGCCATCCTCCTGCAGGTTGATTTCTTGCTTTATGTCTCTCTGTCTCTTTCTGGCGAGTGCATGAACCCTATAGCAAAAATCTCTCTCAAAAAAAAAAAAGAAAGAAAGAAAGAAAGAAAGAAAGAAAGAAAGAAAGAAATACAATCTGCTACATTAATTTCATCATATATGAAATTCCTGAATGAATTTGGTTGTGTTTCTACACTTTCTATTTTGTTCCAGTAAGGTACCTGTTGCTGTGTCAGCACCGCAATACTTTAATTACTGAGAATTTCCAACGTGGTTTAATATTTAATAGAGCTGTTCCTCCTCATTGCTCTCTTCCAGAAATTTTCTGAATATTTTTGCTTGCTTAATTTTCCATATGATTAGTTAAAAATTTGCTTGTTTAATTAAAAAGCTGTGGATATTTTGTTATAATAACATTGAATCAACCTAGAGTCAATAGACATTTTTTTCCATAGGGCATGTGCGCTTGCTGGAGAGAGACACAGAAGGGGAAGTGAGAAAGCACCCCCCTAGAGGGATGGCCACGTTGCAATGCCTCTTCCTCCACTCTCCCCTCAGGATTTTGGGCATGCAGCACACATGCCTGGCATGAGTTTCAAGCCATTGGGTCCAGGACTCGAACCACGATCTGTCACGTGGGAGTCCAGCACCTTCACTACACCATCTGTTATCTCTGACAATAGACATTCTTTTTTCCTTTTTTTAAAAAGAGATTTTTGCCTTAGAGAGAAAGACAGAGACAGTGAGAGGGAAAATGAAACCCCCCCGGAGGGGGTGGGGAATGGCCATGCCACAACCCCTTCTCATCCATTCTCCTGAGATCTTGGGTGTGCATGCATATGCACCTGGCATGGTTTTCAAGCCTCTGGGTCCGGGACTCAAACCATGGTCAGCCATGTGGGAGTCCAGCGATGTAACCACTATGCCATCTGCTGGCCCAACAATAGATGTTCTTATAACCATGGACCATGCTATTCAAAAATCATAGCATACTTTCTCATTTATTCACATATTTTTTGTGTCCTTCAGTAGCAAGTTTAAGTTTTCTTCACGTAGGTCTTATACCTCTCTTGCCAAGTTGACTTCTGACATTTATTTATTTATTTATTGGAGAGGTTTTTGCTATAGGGAGCATGCGCTCGCCAGACAGAGAGAGACAGACAGAAAGTGAGAAATCGCCCCCCAGGGGGGATGGCCACACCACAATCCCTTCTTCTCCATTCTCCTCTTGGGATCTTGGGCATGCACACACACATGCCCGGCGTGAGTTTAAGCCACTGGGTCTGGGACTCGAACCGTGGTCAACTACATGGGAGTCCAGTGACATAGCCATTACACCAACTGCTGGCCCCCTGCATTCCTTAATTCTAAAGAGCAATTTTGTTCAACATCACAACTGTGGACCTACTTTGCACACCCAACATGTCTAAACCCATGGCCCTTGGCACAGTCTGGGTCTGGATTTCCCACAGTCGGTCATGTGGGATCCAGCCACCGGGTGGCCTTCTTTTTTCTTTTTTTAAGTGATATTTAAGGCAAATCAGACTATCTATAGTTTTAGGTGAACCCTCTAGATTGTGATAAGTAGAATTTCTATTATCATTGTATTTTCAAAATTCTTTAATATTGGTTTTGTTTTCTCTTTAAAGAATTAAGAAATTGAGCCAGCAGGTGGCATGGTGGTTAAGACAGCTGGATCCCACATGACCGACTGTGTAATTTAAGTCCCGGACCTGGTGACATGAAAACACGCTTGGCTTGTATGCATGCATTCCTAATATCCTGAGAGGAAAATGGAGAAGGGATTGTGGCATGGCCATTCCCCCGGGGATGTTTTTCTCCCTCACCCCTCCACAAGTGCATGTACCTTGTAGCAAAAAACTAAACTCTCCCCACCAAGAAAAAAAAAAAGAAAGAAAGAAAGAAAAGAAAAAAAATCTTTAAAAAAGATTTTATGTCTTTGTATTTAATTTGCTGTAGGGCACATGCACTCACTGGAGAGAGAGGGCGACTGAAGAGCACCCTCTAAGGAGGCCTGCCACACCGCAATCCCTTCTCCTCTCGGGACTTTGGACACGCACGCTCCGTGTGCTTTCAAGTTGCTGGTCTGGGACTTGAATTCCATAGTCAGCCGTGCGGGATCCAGCTGCCCTAACCACCAGGCCACCAGCTGCCCCCACGGCGGCTGATTTTCTATGCGGGCCCCTCACCTTCTGGTTTTCTCTCTTCTGTCTCAGGCTTCCTCCAGACTTAATGCCCTTCCTTAGTTCTACAGAGCAATTTAGTTCAGCATCAGCCCTGGACCTACTTTGCACACTCATGTATAAACCACTGACCCTTGGCACAACTAGACTCAGGGCTAAAACCAGGTGGCGGGTGGGAGACATTGGCCTATGTTTTAAAATAACTTAAAAAAATAATTATTTCTGGCTTCTCTTGAATTGGCGACCCAGCCACACTGGGCATGTACTTCTAGAAGATTGCATTTGGCTGGAACGAGTAGAAGTTTTTGTTGTTTTAGTTTGTTGTTGTTGTCTATTTGCTTGAGTTTTTCTTGTTTTGAGGCTGCTCCCTTTTGGATGGGGCAGTGTTCTCCAGTTTTCCACTGTCCCCACCCGTCCCTGTCCCTATCACCCGCTGATAGAACGGCTTCACTTCATTCATCTGTAGCACTTGCTTGGAGACTTGAATTTGTTACACGAAAACAGCAGTTTTGGTCTCTCCTTCCTCTGCCTCTCAACCTGGTTCAATGATGTAAGTGGAAGTTTCCTCTTGTGCAGATTTGATTCCTGCCTGCAAAGCTGGTAGAGTCAGCTTCTTTGGTTTTAGGAGGCAGCTGCGCTTCTTCACTGTAGCAGCCAGGGTGGGAGCCTGCTGGACGGGTGGATGGGGACTCGCCCTAAACAGTGTACTGTGTTTCCCCAGGAGGCAGGGGGCCTGGGGCAGGCCTGTTCCTGAGAGACGTGGGGGCTCGGGGCTCGTCTGGGGGCGTGAGGACTAAAAAAAAACTTGTTTTCAGCAGCACTGAGGTTCACATCCTCTCTCCCTCCTTTCTTTCCTCCCCTCTTCCCACCCTTCTCCTAGCCCCGCAGACTCTCCCCATCTTCCTCCCAGGCATTTCCCCCCTAAATCTCGTGTACTTCTTGTCCCATCTCGGCTGTCTCAGAGGACATGGACTACACATCTTCCCAAGGAGACGTGGATACGCCGAAAGAGAAAGAGAGGGCTTCTGGGCAGGTGAACTACACAGTGACAGGGTGCGGTAGGCAGGCCCAGGAGTGCGCAGAGCACAAGGGGCTGGGCGAGCTTGTCCCCGCCCTCCCGCCTGTCCAAGAAAGCACTGTGCTCAACCCTCCCTGGTTTCTCCATCTGAAAATCCGGAATAATAATAGTACCTGCTTTACAGGGTCATTGTGGGGCTTCAGTCTGGTATTACAAAAGAGTGTTTTGGGGGAACCAGCAGTTAGCGTAATGGCTATGTGGCTGGACTCCCACGTAGTCGACCGCGGTTCACG